CCTCCAAGAGACTTCTTCAGTCTGAGAGTTTCAGGTGAACTCAGCCTTATAAGCTCCGCCTCCACATGGACAAACAAGTCAACCCATTCTCACTCCCACGTTGTCACATATTGACGCTTTTCCAAAGTTCCCTCTGTGTCCAATTTTGACGTGTCGCATAGGCCCTTTGCATCATTTTTTTGATGAGATGGGGCGGGATCTGTTGTCATAATTTCAGAAAGTGTAGAAAATGCACAAAAACTACCGTCCCAAAGCGTAAAATTACCTTTATTCACTGTAGACTTCCTGTCCCTGACCCTATACCTAAAATTAACCTTTTTTAGAAAATGTAGGAAATTCACGTCAACTACGTGTTCCAAAGCCTAAAATTACCTAATATTTACAGTAGACATCCTATCCCTGACCCCAGTCCCTAAACTCAACCATTAATCCTGATCCCTCATGTTAACCTCAGACCCCCGACCCAAAGACCCCTGGTGGCACAACCCGGAAAAGCCGCGGGCGTCAAGGACTGACGCGAGGGGGTCACCTGACGCATCAAAATAAGACGCAGAGGGAACTTTGGAAAAGTGTCAATATGTTGACGAGTCGGGAGTGAGAATGTGTTAAACAGGTTGGTCACATGTAAAACAGGACCATCACCTAACAATAGGCTTGATTAGCTCTATTGTTCATAGAGGGTCATGTGCTCCATCACCTGACTTATTGGTTTGGATGCTTCGCTGTGGTTATTTGGTGTTTTGTTATATGTATGTAGTGAATGCAGGCGGGGTTCAGCGTCCCCTTGTTTTATTCTGTTTTTCCCTATTTGTGTTGAGTTCACCTGAAACTCATCAGACTGAAGAAGTCTCTTGGAGGAGAGATGAAACATTTCACTAAAGAAGAACCATCCAGAGGACCTACTGATTTTTTTTATTTTTGTTTTATATTAGTGAGTTATTCTTCATCCATAGAGATGAGTGTTCGTGTGCTGAATTAGAGCCTTCTAGAAGAAGCGTTTAATTTATTTTGAATGAACGAACGAACGGTGTTTTGGTTTGAGTCTGCCTGAGGTAACAGTTTCTCACAGTTTCTCAGACACGTCTCAACACCTGCACCAAACATACTCATGTTTTCATCCTTATCTTGTTCTTCTCACTCTGCTCGACGCTCAGTTTGAGCGTACTCTGTCTGAACGTTGGTTCATCAGTCTTGCTTCCATGTTGCTGCAGGAAGGAAGTCTTCGCGGAGTCCCTCCAGCCGCTTTTCTGGGCTGAAAACACCTTGCTGGGTTTTCAGCTCCTGTTCCAGCAGCTTTTTTCTCTGCAGCAGCTTTTTGCTTTAATCTCTAAAATGAAACTTTCCAAAGTTCGATTATAATTTCACACAACTGAAGCTATTCAACAAGCAAAGCTTCAACAACTAGTGTCTTCAGTTCACAACCACTTGAGTGTTGTTAAAAGGAAAACTGATGCAACACAGAGGTAAACAGGACCCTGTTGCAGCATCTTCTATTTGCAGGTAATTCAGTTGAATATAGGTTGAAAAGGATTTACGAGTCATCATATTCTGTTTTTATTTGTTTTACACAACATCCCAGCTTCAATGGGATTGGGTTTGTATGATTCATTCAAAGATTAAATCAGTTCTTTAATTGTGAAATATTTTGAGATGTGTTAATTTTTTTGATGATTTAAGAACTGGTTGAATATTTTTATATTTCTTTTGGAGACAGACACAGAACCTCCTCTGAGCTGGAGAAGATGAGGTGTCTGTGCTGCCACTAAAGTTTCTGACCTCATCAGATGTTTTGATCTATTTGTTTTTCTTCTGTTGTTTAGATAAGTGTTGTAAGGATCCAGCAGTACAACATCTAAAATAATCAAACAGCAGGTAAATCCATTTTTTTAATTTAAAGGATAAAGAATCACACAGAAACGCTGTCATCCTCCATCTCATGTTTCAAAATTAAATTAAGTAAATTAAGTAATCTTAATCTTAAGTAATATTATTAACTTCAACAATACATTTCAATCTGTTACTGATCAATAAATCTGATCAAGTGTCTCTTTTAACTTTGCTTTACACTAGTAGTGACCCAATACAAACATTTTTACAAATATTCATACATAATATCCCAATACTCAGGACCAATTCCAGTACCTGTATTGTTACTGGTATCAATACTCAGCTGAATGTGTTCCAGTTTATATTTCAAGTGAAAAAGTTTGTCACTTCCATGTTTAAGAAAGTTACCCAAGTTCACAGTAACAGTAAATACCCTGCAGTATTTTTGATTTGATTCAGTCCGAGGAGACACCTTGTTCTAAATAAATGAAATGTGTTTTTAAATTTACTGTATAATGTTTATGTTCTGACTAAGTACTCAGTAAGTTCCCTGTATTGGTGAGTACCCAAACTGAAGTACTTGGTTTGAGAAAACTGGAATTGAGACACCCCTACCTCAAAAAGCAGTAGAGCAGGTACACAAACGTGAGAAATAAGTAGTTTTAAAATAAAACACCTGAGTATAAACAATTTGAACAAAGTTATGGAAATATTTATTTAACAAAGACAGAAATACAAGAATGAAGGTACTCTGTGAGATGATCAGCTGAGTTTTATTGCAACAACAGGAAACACAGAGAACAACATCAGACTGACCCCCTGATCTCTGCTCCTGCTTCTCTGAGGCAGTCGAGGCCTCATATATACTGTTTAACAAACACTATTATGTCTTCTTAATAAAGCAAGATTTGATACAAGGTCAATGGAAAACACAAAGATAAACAAAGTGATATCTAAGAATGACTGTTGTTAGCAGATCTTGTTCTGACTTTAATCATTCTGTCTGCAGATGAACARCATGTCATGAAAACCTAGGTCATTAAAGGATGTCATGAATTACTTACTTAAACATAAAAGTATTAGTTCCATCACAAACATAATATGACATTAGTTTTAAGTGACACAAAGTAGAAAACCCACTCACGCAAAAAAATTGGTTTGGGCTCTTGTCTCTCTTCCTCTTTTGCTTCAGGTAATAACAGATAACAGGATTTCCTGTTTTGTTTCTTATTTTCCTGTAGATGTTGAACTATTGAGGCAATTCCTGCACATCATGCAGGCTCGGCCTGAACAGATACGTGAAGATGAGGCCTAAATCCCTGTAGAAAAAGTGGATATTTGACATACCTTTGTACCTTTGTGGAAACCTGTGAGTGCATCTGAACCAAGAAGATTTGTGAGCCCCTGGCAGACTTGGTCTCTCCCTCCACCACACCTAGCTAAAAGTTATCTGAAAGAAGTTATGTCGAAGTTCCTGTTTCCCCACTTCTGCTTGTATCACTGGTTTCCAGAAAAACAACAATCACAAAACAAGCTGCAACAGCTTTGAGCTACAACTAAATATTGTCTTGAACACAAATGTATTAAATGTCAGAAAAAAAAGAAAAGTTACATTTACAGGAGAAACTGATTGTGTTGCTTCGAAACAGGTTGTGTTATTGCCTGGCCTCTGGTCGGAGGGGGACCCCAGTCGGGTGAGCCACAGTTGGTTTTAGAGAGGAGGCTTGCCTCTGAAGAGGGGGAGGGAAGGACTATAAATGCAAACATGGGATGAGACAGAGACACAAGGCAGAGGGACAGGGACACAGGTGGAGGGGAAGAGCAAACACCCGAAAGCTTTATGACACCGGGATGAAGGACAATTAAAAACAGAAAGTAGAACTGAGGAGGGTATATTTCTTCAACTTCAGTTTTTCTTCCACCAGAGTCAAATCATCCATCAGACTCACTTCTGTCTGAAGACAGTGTTAAAAAAGATGGACACGTCTTCTTCTACTGTCAAGGATGGAACCGTGGCTTCAGATGGACACAGGTTTGCCCAGAACGGGAGCGACCCCAGAGGAAAGCCGCAGGATGACAGGAAGGTGGGACTGGGAAAGAAGGTGACCCTGTTCAGAGGGATCTCCATCATCGTCGGGACCATCATCGGAGCCGGGATCTTCATCTCCCCAAAGGGGATCCTGAAGCACTCGGGCAGCGTGGGGATGTCTCTGGTAGTTTGGATTGCCTGCGGGGTCCTGTCTCTTTTTGGTGAGTTGATCTGCATGTTTCATGAAGAACAGATGTGAACGTGTGGACAGGTTCACAAAGACTCAGTTGTCCTTCAGAGAAAGGGATTAACTATGCCAAACCATGAAAATAATGCATTTTTGCTTCACCGTTCACACAGGAAAATACTGTATATTCAGGAGATGAAAGCTAAGAATTCTGGTTTTTGATACTTTTATATAAAATATTTTGATTTACAGTTATATTCTCCATAGAAATGCACTGACATTGTTTAAGTCCTTCAGAAACATTGTTCTCCCACAAGAAACTGACTTGATTTCATCATCTTTTATGCTACTTTTAGTTTTTAGCAATAATAATTCTGTAAATCTTAGCTTTTAACAACCATTTTAGCTATTTTTAGCCACTATTTTGTTAAATTTAGTTTTTAATAATTTAAAATGTAATCTATTGTTTTGCTACTATTAGCTTTTAACTACACATTTGCTAATGGGGACCTTCAGTCAGGCTATCTTTAGAGCACGAGTCACATGACTCTGTCCGCTCGACACTGATGTCGTTACAAACTCTTGTACCGTCCAGCTATGTTTAAACTTAAATTCAGGGAAACAGCATCAAACTCCACCAGGACGACCACAAAACCTTTGTAACAATTTTGCTCACTGTCCAAATCTGTTGAAGACCATGACCCTCCCGACCTTTCACCTGAACCTGCCTGTGGTTCCTGTCGGATGGGTCAAAATTAGCTCTAGGAACGTCTGTTTCTGTTAACACCGACTCTCTGTAGAACCTAGAAAGTCTGTCCGATCTTTTGAGGGAGTGGCAGATAATGTATGCTTATTAGTTTTTTTTATTTATTTTTTGTTAATTTTAGCTGCATTTTTCTTAATAGTAGGGAATATTTTATAAATGATAGTTTTAACAAAGGTATTGTTATTTTTAACTACTGTTTGGTAACGTAGTATCAGTTTTGCTAGTTTGAGCTACATTTTTTTGTAATATTAGCCAATTTTACAAAACAGCATTGCCTTTCATAATTGAAGCTACTATTTTGTTTATTTTTGTTTAGCATAGGTTTTGCTATGTTTTAGCGACAGTTTTGCTGCTTTTACTTTTTACTTGTTTGAATTTTGTATTTTTTTTTCGAATTAGAGCCTGTTCTACTTTTATCCTTCAGTGTGTGTTCTGTTAGCTTTACAGCTCAGTTTTAGCTGCATCATTTAGCGCTCAGCGTTCTGTCTGTCCAGTGGTCTTTTAATGTCAGCTGTGGTCCAGATGACCAAGCATTAGGCCCTCAGTGGTCCGATCATAGACCACCTCCAGCTCAACAGACAAAACGTTACAACTGCTGTAGTCCAGTCTTTAACCTGGAGCAACATGTTAACAAGTGGAATACTGCTACTGTTTATTTTACTTTACATGCAGAGGCTCGTCTTTCAGAAGGACCTGCTTTTGAATTAGAATTAGAATATTGTGTTAAATAAGCAACAAGCTCAATGATGGTAACATCTTAATGAGTTAATATAGTTTAAAACACGTTCCAACAAGTGTTAATTACTGGATCAATGTTTGATTCTGTCAGAAATGTCAGACGTGACAGGCAGTTTGAGCACAAGACTATAACTACAGATTAAATTTGAATTATTCCAGCTCAGGTATTCCCATTGTTGGATTATGAAAGCTGATTTGTATCCCAGGTAATTATTACAGCTCATTGCTAAAAGCAGAGGTGGTGTTTTTGTACATGTGTTTGTTAGGAAAAAAAAACACATCATTGAAGCACTACATGGATTCAGACAAAATAAATCATTAGCTGAATATTTTAAATTGATGTCTTCAAACTGATTATTTATTTGAGTCATACCACTTAAAGATAGTTGTTACAGCTAAACAACTTCAGGGCTTTCCACTGAAAACTTACTAAACATGGCAATAAAGTTTAAACGGCTTTAATTATCTTCCTGTGGTTCAGGTTTACTGTCAGACTGAGGTAGCAGAAAGTAGAACATGGACCCAGTAATACTACAATACTGGCATTAATTTATGTACACGTTACAGTCTCTAAGCAGATCTGTGTTCAAATTACAAGTGTGCCACAATTATTTTAGTTTTCCTCAAGTAGGGGTCTCTGCGGTACATGTTGTCATGTGGGCGGAGACGGCCCTACTCATGATTGGTGGAGGTTTTGATGTGGGCGGAGTTGACCCTAATTGTGATTAACAAAGTTGGTGTGGGGGCAGAGTTTTCCCTAACTGTGATTGGTCAGATTAACATGTCTTGTGGGGCAACTCAAAAGAGGAAGTTATAATAGTAAAAAAAATATGATTTATTGACTGTCTGTACAGTTTAAAACAGAAGAATGGGCCTCATGCAAGAACCGTTCGTACGCACAGGAGACACGACATTAACAGAACATTTCATTCCTTTWAGCAGCTCCTTTAATTCCACAGCTGACGCTGCTAAAGAGAACAAATATTTTTTCCGGATCTCGGAGAGCAGGACTACAATGTCCAAACTCGTAAAGTTCTTCTTTTTTACTTTGCGATGTCGTTTATGAATGAACACTTCCTGATATCTGAGGCAGGAAACACAGCCTTATATGGTGTTTTTGGGCTGATGTGCAGTGCCATTTGACCTCCCAACATGATGTGTATTCTGGCATCCAAACAGTTCAATGTTGGTCTCATCTGACCAGACTATATTCTCCCAGTATTACACAGGCTTGTCTAAATGTTGTGCAGCAAACTTTAAACAAGCTTGGCAGCCAGTATCTTCATCCCAGGCAGCACAGCAAGAGGGAAAAGAATGAATATTCATGAAAAACTTGCTATAGAGTTTCATGAGCACAAATTGCCCTTGACCTTGTGTCATTGTGACATAAAAATATTCCATTACAATCATGATTCAACCAAAATTTATTCAAAAATAAACCAGATTTTCTCCTCTTAACTATTTGCAAAATGATAAATGTAGTCAAACAAAATCAAAGTGATAACATGTGGATCACTCAACTGTTTCCAGCTTCTTTATCTTCATAAAAAGTGCTGCACAACAAAGTTGTATCTATAAGCATGGCCAGTTTGATCAATGGCTGAAACAAACTCATTATTTCAGCGGCTGTGTTTTTGTACAAAAACGCTCACAGAAATCAGTATCATCAAATTAAGTCAGCGGGTTGCGTCTGTCTCAGAGAAATCTCCTTTCTGCTCTTTGTGGTGGTCTTCCAGCATCATTGATGTAGTATTGTCGGTGGTGGGATGTAACGAAGTACAAGTACTTCGTTACAGTACTTAAGTACATTTTTCATGTATCTGTACTTTACTTAAGTAGATTTAATCACAGGTACTTTTACTTTTACTCCACTACATTTTACATTGAGTATCAGTACTTTCTACTTCACTACATTTCTATAATGCGCTGCGTTACACTTTACTTTCACGTCACATTACATTTTGTTGACTTTTTTTAGTTTGAAAGTAATTGCGAGGACTATATTAGACCCTCTTTCGAGAAAAAGCGCCAAGTGGGGCACTCGGGCGGTTCCTCAGCACCTGCAGGAGCAGCATCATTCAAAGCACCGCCTGCCACACTCAAAATGGATTCAAGCATGGAGAGTCAGCGAGACGATTTGCGCCACCCATGGTCTTATTTAAAAGAGCTTTTTGAGTTAACCGGTTTTAAAAATGACTCATGGAGATTCTGATGCCAGCTTTGCCTCCCCGAAAGCATGAACTTCTAGCTTTCAAAAATTCACCGTCAAACCTCAAAAAGCATATTGAGGTAAGTTGGTAAATGCTACCTGATGCGAAATCATGTTGCAATCTTGCCAAGCTTCTTGTTCAAATGCGTCACTAGCAACAAGTAGGCTAAACATGCTTAAATTATTATAATCTAGCCTAACATGCAGGTTGCTAATGCTGCTAACACACAGGCGAGTGCGACTGCTTTTATTTTATGAAGTCAAAGGAATAAAGAATAAATAGCGCCAGATTGGATAGAAGAGGCGGGAGGCTATTTTAAAGCTTCGTTGTTAGTGTGCGTTTTATTTTCATATACTCTGCTCTGCCTTTGCCTCACAGTCCATCAGTAACTTTACGTAAATTTTGTAATGTGGTGTGAGAGTGACCGTAGTCATTTTATGTAGCCAGAGGAAGACGACACATACGTATTGTGCCATCTTGAATAGAGATGGTCTGTTGTAAACAGCTTCTGTAGCTCTTCACAATCTCCGAGCCTGGTCATTTTGTAACTTTTATTTAATGTACGTGTAAAACAATGATTGATGCCCTTATTATGTGTTTGTATTTAGTTCAGACAATTTTGCACTTTGCGATACCTATCTATGAAAAAATACATTGCTATGCAAATAAAATGTACTTAGTTTTTTGCTCCAATTAAGCAAGGGCACATGTGAAACGGCTGTTTGAAGACAGTTTAGTTGATTGAATGATCCAAATCAGCTGTGCCACCACATGGTTAGAATAAAAGCCACTTGGCCCTTTCACAGATCAGTTTGAGACTTGACCACAGCTTTAAAGGGCCCATCTCATTTAGAGTTTTTATTTTTAAGGTGTAGTGTACTAACACTCAATGTGGTTCTATATTAGTCTTATTTAGTTTGTATAAATTTGGATTAATTGAGTTTGTTTTTTTTATTCCAGAGAAAGCACAGCACTCATCTCCAGCAATACCTTGCACTAACTGCAGCCATCAAAAAGAGAGGACCTGAGTCCAGTGAAGGTGCTTCAACCAGCAAGCAGCAAAAACTAGAGGATACCACTAAGGTTTCTCAGAAGAGCACTGACCATGCAGTGATAAACTTCATTGTTCAGGGTTTGCACCCTTTTGGAATAGTGGAACAATCAGGATTTCAAAGCCTGGTGCAGCAGCTTCAGCCTAATTCCGCTGTGATGTCTCGTTCAATGGTTCAAACCAGGATCGAAAAATCTACAGCTGAAATGAAGGCAAATGTGAGGAAAGCAATGCAAAATATCAAATACTGTACATAGCCACAACAACAGATTCCTGGACTGCACATCGATGAAGCTTTGTTGGAGTGACTGCTCACTGAATAGTTCCTGACAGCCTTGAGAGATCTTCAGTAGCTCTTGCCCGCAGGCGGCTTAAAGGTTCCCACACATTTGATGCATTAGCTGGTGTCCTTAACGATATTCATATGGAGTACAACATTAGGGAGAAAATTGTAAAAACCGCTACTGACAATGGCTCAAATTTCATCAAGGCCTTTAGGGTTTATTTTATGGCCCTGACGAAAATGACAGTTTGGAAACATCCAGCGCAGGAAGTTCAGCTGAAGGCCAAAAGGCAGTGACAGTGAATGATGACGAGGAAGATGATCAGGGCGTGGATGTAGAGGCTGTTGAGGTTGCATCTCTTATGGATGAAGACGATTGTTCCGAATATCAACTGCCAAAGCATCATCAGTGTGCTTGCCATACGCTTAACCTGATCTCAACAGTGGATGCCACAAAAGCAAACTCAAATGAGACCTACAAAAAGGTTTCACGTGCAGCATCTGCAAAGTGTTGGGCGCTGTGGAACAAAAGTGGTCGGTCTACGATAGCTGCTGAGCTAATTAAAAGAGAGTGTAAACTCCAGCTCATCCGCCTTAACGACACCAGGTGGAACTCCTTGTTTCTGGAGGTGGAACATGTGTTGAGGATCATCAAGGACAGTGGAGAAGGGGCCATCAGAGCAGTTGCCATTGCACTTAAAGTGCCCATGTAAGTGACACATAATCATACATCTTTATTTTATTTTTTCAGTGAACAAGAAGTGACCTAAAACTTACACTAGTGATGTTGAAAAAAACTTAACCTGCACAAACTATTCAGTAACAAAATCAAATTATGGACATACTCTGATCACAATATAACTTTTAATTTGTAAGTTTTATGCAAAGATTTGATCAGGCTCTTTGGAAAAGTATATTAACTAATACAATGCTTTATGCTGATATAAATTACAAAGATAAATTAAATGACAATAATTTTCTGTTACAGGTTAAATCCTGCAGAGCTTGCTTTCCTGACTGAATTTGTTGCAACCATGAGCCCAATCTCCAAGGCCCTCAACATCATGCAGACAGAAGCAGATGTCCATATGGGATGGCTCATGCCCACCATAACCCTCCTGACAGTGAAGCTTGGCCACCTTCGTCTCTCCTCTAAGTTCTGTCAGCCACTGATTGATGTCATTCAAGGAAGAATACAGCGGCAGTTTGGACCCATGCTTGCTGACCCAGAACTCATCGCAGCAGCAATTCTTCTGCCTAAGTTTCGCATATCTTGGACAAGCAACGAAGACATGTTGAAACTAGGTACATGCATTCATTTGCATCTCATTTAGGTAATTAGATGAACTAAGTGTCTTCTATTTGGTATGAATAATGATTGTTGTGTTTAGGTCTGGACTACATCAAGACCCACCTGGAACAGGAGCCAGTGCAGCTTCCTGGTAACAACTCGAGCTCATCAGAGGACAACTACTTCAGTGTTATGAAGACCAACATTCAGGAGTTCCACACAGCTAGATGGGTACTTGGCCAGCAGTGCCACTACAATGGATGTTCTCAAGTCAGTCCCTGCAGTGTGCAATTTGTCGTAAAAGTTAAACACACCCTTGCCTGCCTCAGCAGCATGTGAAAGACTATTCAGTACAGCAGGACAGATTTTCTCTCCCAAAAGAGCCAGACTGGACTCAAAAAACTTTGAAAACCAACTTCTTTTGAGCTTGAACAAGAAATTCTTGTCACAATATTAAAATGTTAAGTTCATACACTGCAAAAACTGTCCATCTTACCAAGTTTTAAAACCTTATATCAGCCAAAAAGTCTTTTTGATCTTGTTTTCAGACTGATTTACTAAACAAGAACTGATTGTGTAAGAATAATCATCTTGTTTTCAGAATGTGTAAGATTATTTGTCTTGTTAGTCTGAAAATTTGACTCAAATTAAGTCAAATACTTCTGCCAGTGGAGTAAGAACATTTTACTTGGTAAGATTTTTAAAATAAGAAAAAATTGAGTCAAATCAAGTATTTTAAGAATCTATCTTACAGTAGTACAGTATTTGAGTACTTTCTCCACCACTGAGTATAGTATGGTCAAGAGAATCCATTTGGCCCATCCACAGTGAAGCATACAGGCTTTAATCTGAAGTCTGCCTCTGGCCACGTTTAATTTAAGTCTTCATTTAGACCTGGATTAGCTCTAGTCTTCCTCTAAAAAAGAAGATTATTTAACTCAAGACTAGGACAAGTCTGGGACTACTGTAATCCAAAACTAAGAAAGCTGTTTCAATAAAGCCTGGTTTAAAATGTGATTTAATCTAGAACCAGGCTTAATCCATGTACGGGAAACCGGCCCATAATGTGTCTGTTTTTCCTGTTGTTCTATGCTTAAAGCTCTCATTTAGTTTATATATTTTATTTGTTTATTTACAGTAATGTTTGTTTAATTATCACTAATTAGTGTTTACAGTTTCTATAGTGAGAAGAAACATTTAATCAATAATCATTCCTTCAGTCAGTGATTCATGCATTAGTTTGTTTGAATAACCAATGCTTGTTTTTGTTTGTTCATCTTGGAGTGAGTTATGTTGCTCTTAGAAATATATATNTTGTTGAATCTGACGTGACATGTTCGTACGAACCCTTTGTACGAACAAAAGTAAGAGAAATTTAGGAGAAGAATACGAACATGTTCTTGCATGAGAACCAATGACTCAAATAAAAATTATTGTGAACATGAAAACATAATTTAACTTAAAATTTCACGTGGCAAGCTTCTTCCTGTCTCAAATTACGACTAATATTCACATTCATATTGATTTTAGTGATCTATTTACAGGCTGGTTAGGGATGGTTTGACCAAGCCAGACTGTTACTCGTCCCTCCACATGTATGGTGTTCCAATTTCGTGCAGCTAGCTCTTTCCTTTCTCAAGTTGTGACTAAAATTAATCTAAAAAAAAACACGTTGCTTCCTGCCCAACTAGACCAAACTACTCCACGAGTAGGGCTGTCTCCGCCCACATAAAGAGCTCCACCAATCACAAGCAGGGCCATCTCCGCTCACAAGACAACATGTATTGCAGAGACCCCCATCTTGTTTTCCTTGTCACAATAATGTGAACGGAATTTTCAAAATACTTGCTAAAAGTAGCAAAAGGTTAGCTGAACGTAAAAAAAAGTTAACTAAATGTTATGGGTGGGAAAATAGTAGCTAAAAGCTAATTAAAAGTTAGAAGCAAAAGGCTAACTAAAACGATTTAAAAAAAGAACAATGGTTTTAATCAGTTTAAGAAAACTTACCTTAATCCATGAACCCTAAGCTGCTACTCTAATTTATAAATCGAAGCTTTCTGAGCTGTGGGTTTGTTGTGTGAAACACTTCTACAGTCAGCGTCACTTTGTTTTGTTCACCTTCATGAAAAAAATAATAACTTTGGCAAATTTCTTTGTTTCTCGCTAAATCGTGTCCGTGTGGCATCGTGTTGGTCAGGACCTGACAGGTTCATGGTGTCACATAGTTGTTGTGTGTGTGTGTCAACCCACATCACATGCATGTGGTCTGTGTTTGTGTGGGTCAGGTGGGCATTGTGCAGGTTTTGTGTGAAACCTTCAATAAAATCTTGCAGGTGCCCCTGTGTGTAACATCTTTCTGTGTAAATATCTCATGTTGGCTTATCAGTGCTGGGCACAGTTCCACTAAAGCACTAATAGGGGAAATAATTTCTTGATTAGTGCTTTAAGGTTTTTGCTAATTTTAAAATTTATTAGTGGATTAGCGCTTGCTAAATTTCTAAGCTAAATTTAGAAGCACTAACTGAGGTCTATAAATGTTACTGATCAACATTTATGTTAACAGCTGACAATGAAAGCTGTTGTACATTTTATTCATATGCCACTGATCCACCAGGTGACAATATATGAACCCAAATACAGAATGTCAATGATACGTCTTAAAGAGGCAATATCATGTAAAATCACCTCTTTTGAGTTTTATGTCATGTTATAATGTTATACTCTCATAAAAACATGTCCAAAGCCTTGCTCTGACTCATTCATCATGTTTGAGAAATCCTGCAGTGTTTTTATGAAGCCATGCTGAGGAGCAAAACGACAGGTGGGGACCAGAAACACCTTTTGGTACCAGAAACACCTTTTGGGACCAGAAACAACTTTTGGGACCAGAAACACCTTTTGGTACCAGAAACACCTCTGGGACGTGTCTTTAAGCTGAACTTCCTCATGGCAGAGTGCACCCCCTCACCCCTCCCCACACACCCCGCCCATGACTCCTGCAGGCTCTCGGGTCAAAGTGAAAGTGAAACCTAACTGTCTGCTTAGCTCTCCACATTAGTTCTCACTCAGTGAAGCTCTTTTCAGATTCAAAGTACCTTTGAGGAAAGTATTTTCAGATGCCAAATAAACTGCATCATAGCGCACATGCACCCCCCCCCCCCCCCCGTGACCCCCACACTGAAATGGGCAGGACAGAAGCAGAAGGTGGTTCTTAAAGAGACAGAGACCAATTTCAAGGTGTTTAGAAGAGGAAGTGATGAGAAGATATGTCCTGATGCATCTCAATAATCCAGGTAAAAAATCAAAAGGAAAAAAAATTGTATAGGTCTTCTGGACGGGTTCTTCTCTAATGAAACGTTTCGTCTCTCCTCCAAGAGACTTCTTCAGTCTGAGAGTTTCAGGCTAAATTCAGGCTTTTGAGTCCTGCCTCCATGTGACTGATACTCACATCACATGGCTATCATTGACACCTAATTAACACTTATTGTTAACAGGGGGTGGAGTGATACTGGCAATGGCCGCGCTGTAGGAGGGGGACAGCTGAAAACGGAGGCCCCCACCTCTGTTTAATGATGGACGGTCTTTCTTCACAAAAATGGCTTCTTTTACTCCTCTCTCAAACCAACGTTCCTCTCTATCAAGAATGAGAACATCCTCATCTCTGAAAGAGTGACCGCTGGCCTGTAAATGAGTGAAAACTGCAGAGTTCTGGCCATTAGATGTAGCTCGTCTGTGTTGGGACATTCTTTTGAACAGTGGTTGCTTTGTTTCCCCGATGTATAACTGGTCGCAGTCCTCCTGGCACTTAACAGCATATACAATATTGCTCTGTTTGTGCCGGGGCACCGGATCTTTGGGGTGAACCAGCCTTTGCCGTAATGTGTTTTGGGCAAAGGCTGGTTCACCCCAAAGATCCGGTGCCCCGGCACAAACAGAGCAATATTGTATATGCTGTTAAGTGCCAGGAGGACTGCGACCAGTTATACATCGGGGAAACAAAGCAACCACTGTTCAAAAGAATGTCCCAACACAGACGAGCTACATCTAATGGCCAGAACTCTGCAGTTTTCACTCATTTACAGGCCAGCGGTCACTCTTTCAGAGATGAGGATGTTCTCRTTCTTGATAGRGAGGAACGTTGGTTTGAGAGAGGAGTAAAAGAAGCCATTTTTGTGAAGAAAGACCGTCCATCATTAAACAGAGGTGGGGGCCTCTGTTTTCAGCTGTCCCCCTCCCACAGCGCTGCCATTGGCAGTATCACTCCACCCCTTGTTAACAATAGGTATTAATTAGGTGTCAACAATAGCCATGTGATGTGAGTATCAGTCACATGGAGGCAGTGCTTAAAAGCCTGAATTTAGCCTGAAACTCTCAGACTGAAGAAGTCTCTTGGAGGAGAGACGAAACGTTTCATTAAAGAAGAACCCGTCCAGAGGACGTATACAAGTTTTTTTCCTTTTGATAAGAAGATAAGTTTATTTTCTRTTTAAACATAAAAACAGCATTTTAATAACAGCTAAAGGTGACATAGATACTTTATTATGGTATAGTATTTAAATATATGCCTGAGAAACACATAACATTAGCCTTTTAATAGAGCAACAATATGTGACTCATGTTGTCTGAAAAACGTTCATGGGTTGACTGGGTTATTTTAGTGCTTTAGAATTAGGGGACCTAAATATCTGTTAGTGTTTTAGGGCTAGTGGAACTAATTTTTAGTTTAGTGCTGCCAACCACTGTGGCCTATACACAGTATACAGTATGTATGTACAATTTTAATGATTATTTTTTAATTTTGTGGGTGCAGCTTTTCTTGAGGTTCAGTCAAAAGTCCAGAAATGAAGGTAAAGAAACCTGTGTTTGATAGATTATGTCTTTGTTGTAACAAAATTTCTTGGCAACAAACTTATAAAATTGTAAAACCTGATAATTTCCTATTGAAATGGTGTCTGTGATGGACTACAGACCTGTCAGTGTCAGATACTTCAGTGGAGGCACTTGTTGTTTGTCACCAGGAAATGGGTTTCTTTATTTACATTTTTACAAACTATAAAAGGTAAATGGACTGCACTTATATGGCACCTTTCTGTCCAACCAGGATACATGAAGCTCTTTACAATCTGGGCCTTCATTTACCCATTCACACACACATTCATTCAGCACTCTAACACAGGGTGTATACAAAAAGAAACCCAAATTAACATTGTCACAGTGGCAAAACTATACATATTACAGCAGGAAGCATCGTTTCACCTAAAAGTAGACAACAAATACTTTTTGATGATACTTTATTCATGAATTTCCAGTTACGCACGAGTGAGCAGCATTGTGTTGAAATTTGGGTCACTTCATGGAGGTGACTGACTCTGATATGCAACAAAATGAACACCGACTCGTATCTTTTTCTTAGAAATTTAATTCCTTTTGTGCATTCAGGACATTTTCAAAACGTTTCACTTTCTTCACTGTCCAGGGCCCTCCACATGTCCCCCTTGTGAGGATGTGTGTTTTGTTGTCTGTGTTCTCCCTCTTGTGTCTTCCCTTTGACATTACTCATCATTTTCTCCTCAGTCTGTTTCCTGCTGGTCACCTGTTCAATTATCATGCACCTGCAGTTATTTAATTAGTTTTCTCTCAGCTGTTGTTCATATTCTCTCTTCCTCTGTCTGTATAAATACTCTTCTCTTCGGTTCATTATATGGATTTATCCCTCTGTCTTTTAGTTTTATTTTAGCTGCCCTGCCAGCTCTTTTGTTTTGTTATTTAATAAATCCTTTTTACTTAAAAACTTCATCCTCCCTCTGGACCTGGGTTCATTCCTTCACTACAACACAACACCCCTCCCCTCTCAACAAACAACTGGCATCAACCATGTTCATTTCATTGACCTGGAAAGTGAGCCACCTCCAACACGGGACCCAAATTCCAACACAATGCTGCTCAGTCATGCTTAACTGGAAATTCATGAATGAAGTTGCATCAGAAAGCATTTCTTGTCTATTTTTAAGTGAAACTATGCTTCCTGCTATAGTTTGTATAGTTTTGCTACAATGACAATGTTAAGTTGGGTTTCCTTTTTTAATACACCCTGACAGATCTCTCTAACACAGAAAGATAATTTTCTTGGAAACTAATCATTGCTTTAAATCACATTCACACACTGGCGGGACACGTCAGAGAGTGGGGGTTCAGTGTCTTGCCCAGAGATATTTCGACATACAACTGAATAGCAGAGAATTGAACTGCCAACTCTTAAATTGGAGGATGACTCCTCTAACCACTCAGCTGCAGCCATCCTGTGATGCAGCTTGAAAACAAGGGTTCTCTCACACATGGGGTTGTTCAGTCTTCTAATAAATGTTTTATAAATCTGATCTTGATGTTTAATCATCACTTTGCTGCCTCTGTGGGGTCACAGCACTTTAATATTAAGGTTCTATATAAAGGATCAGAACTAACTGTGTTCAAACAACCAACTGTGACCGAATCAAAGGTGTCCAGATCTCCTCTGAAGGTGTTTTGAAGGAAAACAGTCTGGACACACAGTGTGGGGATTCAGACCTGTATTTTACACCTTTTGATCACAATCAGAAAGTTAAAAGTTTTTGGAACAACAGCTCTGAAGATCAGCACATGCATTGTAAGAAGAACCACAGCACTGATTTTAATGTAACAACAAGTATATACGTGAATTATTGGAGGTGTCTCTACAAAAGATTATCTTTTTGGGTCCACCCGATTCAGGATGGCTGCCACAACTTCCTTTATAACAAGAAATGCCATTTAAGAGCAGTAGCCATAACTTAATTAGTAGACTGAACCCTAACAACTGATCTCTATATTTGTTTAGAATTCCAAGATGGCCGACAAAAAGAACAAGACATCTCAGTTATTTAACTTCAGTTTTAGAGTTATTAAACAAAGGTTTAGTGTCCGACAGTCATGCCTAAATCATGCTCTGATTAATAACATGTTGTTTAGTTGCCTTTAACTATTGGTGACCAGGTTTGTTGGATAAATTATCTCATGAACAACTAAACATGTTGTAGTAAAACTCTAAAATAAAGTACTGTGTTTGCACCCACAACTGATTAATTTGATTTTACTTAACTACAGCTGATTTTCTCAGCTACATTATTGAACAAAAACAAGTCCGTCAGACAAACAGATATTGAGCTAAACATTGTGTGGTAGTAGCTTACAGTCATCCCTAACATACATTCTGAATGCTAAAGGCAAAACACACAAATGACAGGTCACATCTACATTTTTTCATGTTTTTTTGAATTTATTTTAGATTTGCTGAGATAGTTTGCAACATTTTTGACTGATCTGAGTGTTTTGTTGTTGCAGGAGCTCTGTCCTATGCTGAGCTGGGGACATGTATAAAGAAGTCTGGAGGACATTATACGTACATACTGGAGTCATTTGGACCTCAGATGGCTTTTATTAGGCTGTGGGCTGAACTCATTGCAATCAGGTAAGATGTTCTTTAATGAACTCTGTTCAGCCAGACCTACAGTATAATTTACAGTGTAGTTTATTAACTGCACTAGTCAATCGTTCTCACCTCCTGTAGGAAACAGGTATTCTGTTTACTCTGTATCTAAGTGTTCTGTTAACAAAATATCTCATGAACCACTGGACTCATTTTATGAAACTCATAGTAATCACTGGATGAACGCCTACAACTGATTAACTCTTGGAGTCAACCCAATTCAAGATGGCCACCACAACTGAACAATCTTAACAAATACAACCCCAATTCCAGTGAAGTTGAGACGTTGTGTAAAACTTTGGAATGTCAGGAGCGACAAGATAAATAATTAATTAATGTACAAGTCTTAACCACTAAGTTGAAACAGAAATTATACGTTTATTCAAAAAATTAGATCCAATCTGACATCTTC